TGGGGGAACTGCCTGGTCACTGGATCCCGTTTTGGGGGCGATTTCCTGGGGGTACAAGGCATCATCATCGGCCCAGGCCAAGAATAAGCTGAAGAATCTGTGCCTGGGTCCCTGGGAGAGAGCACGGTAAGGAAGAGAGTTTCGTGCCTATGTTTGGCCATGCACTCTGCATGCTGGTGATACCTGCAGGTGCTTGCATAGAACGTAACTTTAAGCACGTGGATCAGGTACATGGATGTATAAGCGTGCACGTGGCCATGGGGATGGAGCTGCTGCAGCCCACACTATGTCTGTGAAGCTTAAGAAACAGCATCTTTTCTTCCTGGTAGATGGTTGCCCTGTGGGTTGGAGAGTGAAATGTGAGCTGAGTTTCAGTGAGCCCCATACCCCCAGACCTCTTACGCAGTGGGGATTCTATGTTTGGATGTAATATTATTGAATGTGACTTTTTTATTGGGAATCTGATTTGTTCTGAGCAGTCTCGTTCACTGGCATGCATCTAGCTGGGGACTGCCCCTGCCTCCTTCCCAGCTCAGAGGTCCGGGATGCAACAACCACCACTATTCACCACCACAAAGTTCCTGAACATTATGTAAAAGGTTAGTAACCACAGGTGCATTTGCACTTGTGAGTGAGGCTGCGTAACTGGGAGTGCACATGAATGTACCAATGTTTGAGAGTAAGTGGCTGTGAACATGTTTGTGTCTGTGGGTGAGAACTCACAAGTGCATGTGTGAGTGTGTGTGGGTGAACATAGGTGTGACCACAGTAGGCAGGCATGACTGAGTGTGTTGGTGAGGGCTGCATAAGGGGTGGGGATGCAGCTGGCTTCTCTGTCCTGGCTCCCTCAGCCTCAAAGCACTCCCTTTGCCCAAGAGGTCTGCCTCCTAAAGGGCTCAATTTGCCCTCTCCCTCCCTGCTCCCTTTGTCCCCCCACTTTAAGTGACTGCAATTATGTCTTTCATGAAAAACAGAAGTGGTGTCTAATACTGTAGATCACTTCAAGCGGAAAGCTGCTGCTTAGTTAAGTCAATGATGCCATGTTGATTAAGATGTCACTTGTCATCTACAGGCAGCACAGAGGGGACTTATTCAGCTCCCTAATTCATATGTTGAAGCCCTAAGCCCCAGCACCTCAGAATGTGACCTTATTTAGAGATAGGGTCTTTATAGAGGTAATCGAGTTAAAATGAGGTTACTAGGGTGGGCCATAATCCATTATGACTGATGTTCTTATAAAAAGAGGAAATTAGGATACAGACATACAGAGGGAAGAGGTTGCACTGACATAGAAAGAAAGTGGCCACCTATCCGCAAGCCAAGGAGAGAGTCCTGGAGCGGATCCTTCCTTCGTAACCCTCAGAAAGAACCGTCCTTGTCCACACCTTGATCTTGGACTTCTCATCTTCAGAACTGTGAGAAAATAAATTTCTGTTGTTTAAAACACCAATAGAATGATACATTGTTACAGCAGCCATGGCAAACTAATACAAATATTTAACTAAATCCTGTTTTATCAGTCTTTTCCAGGCATTCCACATTCCATCGCTAATTTGATGCAAATTGCATACATAGTATCTTTTCACTAGGAACAAATTGAGGATGTATCTCTAACAGGATTCTTTTAAAAGCTTGACCACAATACCATGATTAGTAGTAATAATTCTATTCCCTGTGAAGTGATGGCAGGCCCATTTGCAAACCCTGGTGCCCTCTTCCCATCTGGAAGATTTCCTTTCCAAGGTCTCTTTGGTGGGGGGTAATGTGAGTGACTCCCCTTCCTTTGTGGGGACCATGGATCTTGATGTTGCCAGTCTGGCCATACTGCAGACATTAGTAGGGCTCAAGGAGTCTCAGGAGGGGGCGGGGGTTGCTTCCTTACCTGGGGCCTTGGTCCCTGTGGGCATGCACCTGTCCACTCTGGGTGCCAGCACCTTTAGCTACTACTTCCCTGGCTGTGTCCCAGCATGGAGCACCCATGGGAACCAGGCTCTAGGATAGCTGAGGCAGAACCTGGGCAGAGCTGCCGCTGCCATTCCACTCCAGAGTCACCTCCTCAGAGGGGCAGCTGGGGAAGGACCCACCAAGAGGGTCAGCCCAGGGGAATCCTCCCAATTGCTCTCTGAACACTTCCAGATGGACCTTTCTGAGCTTCCTGGCACCTGGGTTGCTTCTAGAAAGCAGCTGGGCCAGGGCTGCCTTGCTCTATTCTGGCCTGCCAGGGTCTGAGCCCTGGAAACCACAGCTATGGGGCCGCAGCCTCTCCAAGTAGAACTAAACATGGCTCCCAGTTTCCCCAGGCTGTGGCTGCATTGTTAAGTAGAGTCCCTGGCAAGTAATTACACCCACGGCAGCTCAGTTGCACCCTAAGCAAATTAGGTGCTGATCCGAAGGTGTAATTAAGCAATAGTGAGTGCAATTTAGTAATTGCCAGTGTCTTTCCTCACTGGTGCAGCAATTCCAGGACAAAAAAGACCTGTTGGAGAACCGTTTCTCTCCACGACCCTCCCTGTTCTAAGTCTAGGCAAAGAGAAACCGCAGAGCCAACTTCTGTTTGATTTCTAAATATTGGGGGAGAACCTTTGGATGTGTCAGGGTGCTAAACATAATTAGCATTCTTTAGGAACAAAATACACAAGCCTGCTATTGTTTCTTTAATTATATGTCTTCTGATATGAAACAATTCCTTGGTGTTGGTGATGTGTTGATTAATTATCCCAAACAGTTTCCTTTGAAAGTTGGGAAATGTTTCCCTTGACCTCCTTCTCCATTTCAAGGAGCCAACCTCTCAAGTTTCCTCAAGATCGTTGTTGTTACCTGTGCTGGAAAGGTGGAGGGAGAAATGGATAGCTTGGGGGTGTGGTGGGGCCAGGCTGGCCTGTGGGCTTCCAGGGGCCTTAAGCCTGGGCGAGCCGGCCTGGTGGGCATTCTAGGCTGACCCCTGGGAGACCGATCTGCCGCTCTTCTGTGGGAGGGACACGTGCAGGTGAGTCGTTGTGGCAGGTGTCTGCAGTCCCTGGACCGATCAGGATGTGCCAGTGACTCGCTGAGCAGTCTCTCCTGACTGTCACCCCTACGGACCTCCCCTTACTTTCCTTCACCCTTGCTTGTGTGTCGAGCCCTCCCAGCAGCCTCTGAGAAACATGCAATAGGCAGCAGTGGGGACAAAGCCCGGGAGCTTTTTGTCAGGTGTGTGTGGATGACACTGTGGGTGATAAGAGGAGGGGAGAAGTTGTCTCAGTGAGCTGTGTGTGCGTGTGTGTGTGCGCGTGTGCATGGGTGCGTGTGTGTGTATATGGATGTGTGCGTATGCGTATATATTGGTGTGTGCGTGTTGGGGAAATGGAGCAAGGCTGGGTAGTTTTTCAGTTGGGGTTACCTTTTAAGTTCTTGGTCTTGGTCTTTGCTCATGAGGATCTAAAGTGCCTTCTTCTGTCCCCTTACTGCCCCGTCACACCATCCTTGCTATTTCAGGGCAGTCTCCAAGCCCTCTGTCTCTAGGAATTCTGCCCAGATTGCCCTACCAGTCCTCTAGGGCCTCTCTCCATACAGAGCCTGCCATTCTTTTGCCCCAGATAAATCCAGTCTCTCCAATGGTTTCTAAGAATGCACGTGGGAGCAGGGCTGGTCCTCGTCCATCTTGGTTGCTCCTCAGTGTCCGGTTTTGGCCAGAGCTGCTCAGGTTTTCCTCCGTTACCTCCTACTGCTCCCACCTCCCTGCTCCCTCCCTCAGCCCTGGCCTTTTCGTGTCTCTTCTTCCCTGTCACTTCTGCCTGTCTCTGTGTGTCTACCTTTCTTGCTTCATTACTATATATATATATTCGAAGTGGCCCACAGGGAATAGAATTAAACTTATATATGAAGTATGAACAAATTATAATGTAAAAATAAAACAGTCAAAAATCAACAGCTCCATCGTCACCTGCACGTGTCCCTCCCACTGAAGAGCGGCAGATCGGTCTCCCAGGGGTCAGCCTAGAATGCCCACCAGGCCCGCTCGCCCCGGGAAACCATACATTAAAAGAGTCAAGATGGGAGGGCGTTGATTTAGAATGTGGATATATTATATGATCCTATTATGGTTTCTGTTAGCTGTGATGGTTATTGAATGTGCTATGTGCTGGGCTCTGAACTTTATGTTTATGATCTTATTTCACCCCTCAATAGTGACCGCAGAGATGGGGACTCTCATGCTCCCCTTTTCTAGATGAGGACGCTGGGCTCAGAGAGGTTCAGAGTCTTGCCCAAGATCACACAGCCAGCACATGACGGAGCAAGCATTTGAGCTGAGATTGTCTGGCCTCAGACAAGCCCATCTGCAGCCTGTACCAAGGAGTAACAGGCTCGGCCTGGGGCTGAGGGAGAGCTCGCTGGGGGCTGCAGCAGTAAGGGGAGGTTTTGGGGAGCAGGTTGATGGGAAGGGTGGAGAGGGAGGTAAGAGGATGGTAACCTTGACCAACCCCGGAAATGTCAGGAGGTAGATGGAGGGTGGGGGTGTGGACATGATGGAAAGCAGGAGGCAAGGCCAGGCAGTAGATATAGGTTCTCAGAAACAGGGAGAGGGAAGAGCAAGCACACCCGGCCAGAGGATCCTCTGAAGGCAGATTCCAACTGGCAGGGTGGCCCAGGCAGCCCTGAAATAGGAAGCAGAGTTCTTTAGCCCCCCTCTGCACGGCAGGGGGAGGCCTCTTCAAGGAAAGGAAAAACAGCCTTGTCTTGGGGCACACCTGGCTGCCCCACCGGGCCCGGCGTAGGGTTTCAGGAGCACTCGATAACACGCCTGGGGCAGTCCCCTGGGGAGGAGGCTGTGTACCCTCTCCGCCCATATCCAGTCCCCTTTACTGGCCGCCCACCAAAAAACTACTTACTGTCCTGAAAGCAAGTGAGTGCACAGTACACCGGTGTGTTGTTGGGGGCACTGGGACGAATGGCTACTGGGTTCCGTGAACGGACTGCTCTGAGGATGGGGGGAGGACAGGGGTGGGGAGTGCTGGTGGGTGGATCCTGGGAAACAGAAGAGAAAGTGTCTGTCTCAATGCGTGAGCTGAAAGGAAGAGTTTACAAGGTAGAAACAGGATCATGTCCCTCCCCGTCTGGGGCGTCAGTCTTGGAAAATCTCTTAGTGAGGTGGATCTTAAAAAGGTAGCTGAAATCAATGACTTGGGCCAGAGGAGAAGTGGCTAGGAGATAGGCTGCCCTTGACTCGGTGAGAAAGGGGTCAGACCCTGGTCATTAAATTATGGTCCGTCTTACAGACCCTCACTCAAGCCAGCCGTTCAGACCTCTGAAGAAGTGGCCGTATGTTGAATCCAGTGTATTTAGTATGAAGAATCCAGTTTCCTACCATGGTTCAAAGTGCACGTCCGCTTATAGTGGCCACTCACTTAGCAGCTGTGCGACCTGGGGCAAGTTTCTTGGCCTCTGTTTCTTCATTCTTAAACGAGGTCAATAATCAGACTGACAGCATGGCAACTCCATGTTGGTGGTGAGTGGAAGTCATGTGACTTGGTCTTAAAGTGTAGGACGACTTTGAAAAAGAAGGCTATGGTGGTCAAGGTAGGCTTCCTGGAGGAGGAGAGGTTCAGACTTTGGTCCTGGCTTGTTCCTGGTCCAGTGTACACAGGTTCAGCATCCTGTGCTTGCGGGCCGGCCTCATAGGAGTGTGCTCTCTGTGACTGGCCTTTGCCATGTGCTCAGGTGTTGGACAGAGGCACCCGGATAGAAGAAGTGAGTGTCCATGGCCAGACTGCTCCAGACCACCTGCAACCCAGCAGAGAAGAGACAGGTAAGACCTAGGGGTTTGCCATCCTGTGGCCCTAGTTGGAAGGCTGCTCTGCTGAGGAGCGGAGAGCCGGGCCCTCCCTGCCCACAGGGACCCGAGCTGCCTACTGTGGGCTTGGTCCTACTGCACAGGGATGGGAAGACCCTCTCCTTGTCTCAGGGATTCCATCTGGTTTTTATATTCATGTGTAGCAGTGATGAATGTTACTGTAAAAACAGAAAAAGGCAGGAGAAACGGACCTCCTCCCGGAACGAACGTTTCATCGCTTCATGTCCGGGCAGCCTGACTGATGGAACTTGACATTCGGGGCTCATTAGTGCGGGAGTTCGCTTACCGTGAGCAGCCTGCTGCTGGGAGGTCACGAAGGAGCTTTAACTTTGCTCTCAGTGAGAGACTGGGCTTCCAGGGAGAAGCTGTCCGGCAGGGCTGACCCCCGCCCTGGGGCTCCCCCTCTCGCTTGGTGGAGGCCCAGCCAGGCTCTGTGTCCCTTTCTCTGGGGAAGTGGTCCTTCCAGGTCCTGGAGACCAGCCAGGGGCCACTCCCCCGCTTCCTTCTGCCTGGTCAAGATCCTAGATTGTCAGCGTTGGAAGAGATCTCAGCTCGTCCTACTCCAACCATGTACATGTGGGGAAGCTGAGGCCCAGGGATAGGAGGGGTTTGCTCAGAGTCACCCGGCATGTCAGGGAAAGTGCGGTCGCAGACAAGAGCCTGGGCTCTGAAGGCAGAAGGACGAGGCTTCGAGCCTTGCGAGCCTTGCGAGCCTTGCGCTGCTCCTCATTGGCTGTGTGGCCCTGGCCAGCAGACGCTCTCTCATCTCACAAGACCACAGGGGGACTGAGAGAACGTACCCAAAGTACCTAGCACTGCACCCGGCACAGATTGAGGGCACAACACACCTAGTTATTGCTAGTTTTCTTCTTGTCATTAAGCCTAACCTCCTGATTTGCAGGGTGGCCTGTTAGTTCATGGCGGGGCCTTTTCTCTGCCTTGATAAAGTGCCCAGCGAAGTCAGACATAGCAGCTCCACTCTGACTTTGTCCTGTGGTCTGGAGCTAAGTGGCAGAGGTCTGGTGGCAGAGCTTCCACAGGAGGGAAAATGCTCCCTGTGGGCAGCAGCATGTGTCATTATTGTCACCGCCCAGCATAGATGGACTCCAGAAGGCCCCAACCCAATGAATGAGCGGTGGAATGTTGGCCTGTCATCTTCTCCAGATCTGGGAACCCTCCGGAGCTCGCCTCTGAGGCAGAAAGAGCGTGAGATTTGGAGCCAGCTGCTCTGCTTTCTTCATCAGCAAAGGGGGTATCTGCTACCGAGCCTCATCCTACCTCCACCTACACATTCCAACTTCCATCGTATTCCTCACAACCCTTTGGACAGGCAGGAGCTGTATTACTACCCCCATTGTGCAGATGAGGAAACTGAGGCCCGGAGAAGGTAAATGACTTGCCCAGGTGATCATCAGCAAAGCCAAGGCTTCAGGCCAAACCCCCGGGCTCCCTGGCCGGTCCTCGTGCGGCTAGAGTCCTTCCATTCAGCAGGCTGAAGAGAGTGTGGATGAAATTAACTAAGTCAGCAGATTCTCAGCCTTTCTTTCACCTGCCTTGGGGATCAGCTGCTTTTTCCTCTGTCAAGGCAGAAGCAGCCCTTTGGGTTGAGAGTGCATTGGGTTTCCACCCCACAGATCTGGGTCAGGCATTAAGCCTGGCTCCTGGAGAAAGGGAAGGGTCCCTAATCACAGGATGGGCAATGTGGACAGGGGGCTGCGACCCCAGGCTGGGGGACCCATTTAGGATGGCTTCCAGGTAAGATGTGCATATTTTCCCCTCCAGGACCTCTCACACAGCCCTGGACAAACAACCCTTACCACCTGGCTGGGTGTCCTGGTGATTAGGATTTAATGAAGTGGCTGCAGATTGCTCAGCAGGCTGGGGGCCGTTGTTTGCGGCCTACAGAATGTACCTCTGCCCTGGTGGGGGCTCTAAGTTTTGTGTTTCTGGCCAATCTGCTTCTTATATATCTATTTGGAACCAGCAAGTGCCTCCAGAACATTTTATTGGGTTCTTTTGAATTAGGAGTTTTAACAACCTGAAGTACAAACATAGAAGCCGTTAGGGAGAGAGAGTAAATGAAGTTGGGGCAGTGTGCAGGAGAGAAAGAAGGAAATCCCAAGCTGAGTTTCGGAATAGAGCTTGAAGATATTACAGACAGCAGGCTGCATCTTCCATGACAGGAGCCCTTCCCCCGAACCCTGCCATGGTTTATAGAACACTTCGTCCACATAATTCTATTGAAAGCACATACTACCCCTAAGAGACAGTGACGGTTTGTTTATTATCTTGATTTTACAGATGGTAAAACTGAATCTCAGAGAGGTGCTGAGACTTGCTCAAGATCACACAGCAGAGAACAGACAGGGCTGGGATCCCAGCCCAAGCCTGGTGTTCTCTTCCTGACACCACAGTATTTCCCCCTGAAGTCTTTGATTTCTATTCTCGAGTTAAGTATTAGCAATGGTGCCAGAGCGGGTGCTGTAGAAGCTCTGGTCCGATCCACAGGGACCCCTTTACCCTCTCAGTGTGACCACTCACCAGCTTCTGTGTATTTTGCTTCCAATGGCTCTTGCCTGCAACCTTCTTTGGAGGCTGCCTTTGAGCTATTGGAGCGATTTGCCCAGGCAGAGGGCTGAAAGTGCCTGAGAGTTAACTGGGGTGGTCCATAGCCAATGATTAACTGGAGCCGGAGTATGAAAGCCCAGCTCCCTCTCCTGGAGGCAAGACAAACTCTGAGGTGTAATTTATACCCGAGTTGCTCATGGGATCAGGCTGGCACCAGGACCTCACCTGGGATGGCACCCTGTCCTGCTTAATCCACTTCCTCCCTCTGGTCTCTCCTAGGAGCGCTTAATAAACCACTTGTAAATAAATTCTCATCTCCAAGTCTGCTTCTGACAGGTGCTGAGCAAGGAAGGGCTTGAGGATCGAGACTGTGAAAAGAGACGGGATCACTCCAGGGGAAAAGAAAAAAAAAAAGGCTCCTGACTTGTAGTGTTTGCCATTTTCCGTGGTGTAGATATTTCTACCATGGCTCATTCCAGCTAATAATGCAACATCACTGAAGGCAGAGATGGGCAGAGATGCACCGCTGGCTCCTGCAAGCCAGCGTGAGCGGGCTCCAGCAGACCACTGCGAGTAAGTTACCTGCGTGTCTCTAACATCTCTATCTCCAGAGCTGGGTTCCAAGGGTCAGATCTTGACTTTTCTGGTGTCCGGGAAGAGTAATGATTCCCTGGATCCATTTGGCAATAGCCCATTGGGTTTGTACTGATAAGCTGAGGACCTAGATTTCATTGTGAAAGTCAATTGTCCCCATGGAGTGGACATCTCCTATCTCCCTGCTCTGGGACATCACAGTGCTCAGCCACCTTCTTCAGTGTTTGATGCTACTGGTCTGGGGTCTGCATAGGGCCCATTCTTGTTCTGATGCCATGATAACCTCCTACACGTGGAGAGCACTTTACAGTTTGCAAAGCATTTTCCACAGCCATCTTCTCGTATATTCCTCCCACCTAGGTTGGTGGTGGGGGTGTGATCACCACCTTACAAACAATAATCCAAGGCTCAGGGAGGTTTACAGGCCCTACTGGTAAATGGCGGCAGAGCAGGACCAAAATCTCACGGGTCCTATGGTCCAGTCAAGTACATTTTTGTCTGTTTTGGGCAGATTGAGCATCATGAATATTAAAATGTGCATCATAAATTGAAAGCCGGGTTAAAATCCACATGCCTGGCTTTATCTATTTAATTTGAAAGTACTAACCTTAAAAGTTCTGTCAACTTATATCCAATTTTTGGTTTTCAGTAGTAGGTGAAAACCAGGAGATTTGGGGGGAAGAGGGGACATGACACTGTTCAGAGGTGATTCAGTCTCTCCCCAGCCTCCCCCAAACCCAAACACCTTTATAGCCCAGGTGACCATGGAGAGGTAGACAGAGGTAATATTTCAATCCAAGGGGGTTCAGGTCAACAGCTTCTTTAGTCAAGATGACAAAGGTATTTATTACAGGAAATCCCTGGCAAGGACGATCTCTGCTTCTCAAAGAGACAGCAATAAAGGCAAGCTTTTGCCCGGAGCAGTGGACTTCTGAGGCTGATCTGCAAGGCTCTGGCTGAGGCAGTATTCACATTCCTGCCGGAGATGGAATCTGCTCTTTTGATTAGGGAGTTGTGAACGGCACACACCCAGGGTCGGGCCAGGAGATTTATACCTGTGACTTCACTTGCGATCCGCAGCCCTCTCAACTCCAGGATGGAACAGCTGCAGTGTTTGACTAGACTTTCAGGAAAGATAGAGCTGCCATCCGCCAGACACACCCACCCACCTGCACATTCACACCCACACTCTTGGTTTTCTTCCAGTGCCGTGCTAACATGTGCATTGCCTGAATGAATGAATGTTCCCCCAAAATATCTGCTGAGGGATCTGTTAAAAAATACAGATTCCCAGGTCCACTTTCAGTCTGATTCAATAGATTGGGAGGGGTATGGTGTTAAGAAACTATAGTTTTAACAAGACCACAGGGAATTCTGATGATTGGATCAATTCAGTAGGTATGGCCCAGTGCCTCTGGAACTACAGTAGTTGTTTGAATCAGCTAGAGGCTCCTTAAGAAGAGTGCTGATCTTTTTATCTGGGCCTGAGAATCTGCATTTCCGACACACTCCCAGGTAATGTGATTGCTGCTGGTGTGGGGACAACACTTTGAGAACCACTGGTGCAGACAGACCTTGGAGCCAGACTTAATCCATCTAAGCCTCAGTTTCATCATCTGTAATGTGGGGTAGCTCAGAATATCTACCTCTTAAAGGTCGTTATAAGGACTAATTGAGTTAATACTTGAAAAGCTCAGCAGTATCTGCTACATGCTAAACAGTGTGACATGTTTGTTAAGTAGATAAAACGCCAGCCTAGATGTTGGGTATATTTTCATTCATGCACTCAGTGAATACTTAGTGATACCTACCCTGTGCTGGAGCCATCTTGGATTAAGTATGGTACCATGCAGTGGAGCGGGAGGCAGACACAGCCCCTTCTTATTCTGTGGTAAAGAGTGGTGGATTTTCTGGTTCTTCCAGCATGTCATTCTTGGGAGCCCATTTATCTCCCCAGACCTTAAAAGCACAATGATGTGATCAATATCAGGACTTGTCCCTACTGTCCTGGCACCCTGGACTTTGCCTTCTCAGCACTCATCCTAATCCTTAACCATGCATCCATTTGCGTGATTTTTTTTGTGGAGGGCATGCCTGTTAGGGGCAGACTCTGTCTCTGGGCTCTTTCCTGCTGGGTCTCCAGCTCATAGTGCAGCGCCTGGCACATTGTAGCTGTTCAGTGAATTTGTTGAATGGGTGGTTGGATGGATGGATGGATGGATGGATGGATAAGTAGATAGGTGGATGGACAGATGGATGGAGCCTGGGTCACTCCAAGCCTCTCCTAGGTGACCACAGCAGTTTCTGGTCAGGCTCTCCCACCTCCATTCTTTGTCCCTTCAATCCATTTTCTCCACGGCAGCTGCACAGATGGTTCTCAAACTGAGGTCTGATCTGCTCACGCATCTGCTTAAAACCTCTTCCATGGCACCTCTTATAATAATTTTCTTCTATGGACCATATGTAGACCAAATTCCATGGCTTTTTAATTAATTCGTGTCTCCATTTACAAATAATCAAAGCCACATGACTGTCAATTGAATTGCTGATTAGGAGGAGATAAGTACTAATAAAGTTTTGGCTTAAAGCAGAGAAACTTAATGTCTTATTGAACTATGCAGATTTACCTTGGGTAAGTGTATGGTTCCTGCCAAGCTTCTAGAATTGCTGAACATAGCTCACAGATACTCATTCCTCAAAAATGCCTACTTAGACAGTCAGGGGGTAGGGATGCCTGATGGGGAAACCACGTGATTATGGAGCAAACGCAAACTTCTTAGCCTGGAGTATAAGGCTCACATACTTGGTCTGATCCTCCTTTTTGAGTTTTGTCTTTTGCTACTTCCCTTTAATTGTCTGGTCATGGGTGTCTCCCTGACCAGGTAGGAGCCACCGTAGGGCCGGAGTCTAGCCCAGTACAGCATGTGCTCAAAAACTGGAATACATGAATAGTATAATATACAATAGATTTACTTTTAAATTGTCTTTCCAGATTATTTTTCTCATACTTATAATTTGAATTTTTCCAATTTAATGCATAGGTAACCTTTATGAAGACTATCATTTCTCTGTCTGGGTGTTCATCTACATAAAATAGGGTACAAAAATGTTACTCACCAGGAGGAGGCCAGGACAGTGGGTGTCTTTGAAGGGAGTGGTTGGAATGTGGTGGATTTCCCCATTTCACAACCTTTTCTGCCCCACCCCCCTCATTGCTGCCCCAGGGGGTGGTATTGACTCCTTACTTCAAGCCAGGGGAGACAGGCTCAAGGGGGACCACTCAGAAAGCTTGACATATGTTTCCTAGAATTGGGGGCCTGGTCATATGAGCATTCCTATAAGACAAGGGGACCTATAGTTGGCTGGTGGGGCAATATGACCCCAACTGTGAACATTTGAGTTAGGGGATCTTTGAAAACCCAGGGGGTGGGGTGCCTTAAGCAGTAGGAGAAGTTCCCAGAAGTTACTTGAAAAAAACCAGAAAAGGCATCATGCCCCTCAAGAAAAAGAGTGAGCTTTGAACAGAGTCAGCAGCCCACGATTACATCTGAACCAGGAAATCCTCTTTTTCCTCTCCTCCAAACCCAGGGACCTCATGGGTAGTTGGGGAGCAGGATGAGGAGATGTTTAAGGCAGAGAAATGGAGAAACAACAGAGTCATCATTGCTCACGGCAGCCTCCCTGGCTAAAGCTGGCCTGAGCTGGGGAGGCCTGCACTTGGTGAGGGTAGACAGCGAGTTAGTATAACCCCGGGCCTGACATTTTAGATACTGTAATGAGACTGTGCGTAGAACTGAAAGTGACCATAAGACCATTTGTTATCTAAGAGTGACCAGAAAAGTGATGGCACCTGACTGAGATTTTTATCCCAGAGCAAGAATTCCCTGCAGAGCTAGTTTAAAGGGACAATGGGCTTGGCCTGGGGGCAGAGGGGAGTGGGGAGAGTTTGGAGAAAGTTGTTCAATATAATGGTTACACAACTACATTTACAGAGACATATGAAAACATATATACATAAATCCACATATATAACACAGATTTGTATCAATATATGTGTATACAATATAGCTATGTGTATAATACATGTATTTATATGTACAAACTACCATTTTTGAGAATCTGTTTCTGCATATGTTCTAAGCCAGGCATTTTTACATGTATTAGCTTTAATCCTCAAATAAGATAAATATTATCACTATTTTATAGATGATAAAACTAAGGATCAAGGATATGATATCTTTTATCCCAAGCTCACATAGCAAGTGGCAGAGCTACAATTCAAACCTAGGTCCCTTCTCTCATCCAGACTATATCTGTGGCTTCCGTGAGCTGGGTCTGTCTCCAGGGGCCAGATCTTATCCATAACTTGTACATATGTCAATTCCTGTGTCTCTATACTGAGATTTTTCCTTCTATGCATGGATAGGTTGCGATTAATTGATGTGCTATTAGCTCAGGCTAAAGGTTCCCCCTCTCCCTTAGCTTAGTCAGGTCTCAGCTGGCTTCTCTAACAACACAAAATCACATGACTAGAGCCCATGGAGAAAATGACAGAGCTATGAAAACTTTGGGTACCAAAATAGTGCCGGGTTAGGGGTGGTGAAGGGCAAGGTGAGCATGGCATAGATTATTTGGTAAAACAGGTCCGTTTGTCCTGGCCGAATTTACGAGGAAGTACATCTCCCTCTGGCCCTCCTTCTGGCCCTCCCTGCAAGCTGCCCACGTGGCCAGGAGGAGTCCTTTATCCTTGGAACAGTCACCTCCTAGAAACCATGAGACCATGCACAGACCGCGTATGGCACTGTTTTAGGTCTCTAAATCTGATTTCCTCAAAGCAGGCTGTAAACCCATGGCACTATGCTGGGGGAGGTGGGGAGACAGCTGGATGCATGGGAGTACGAACTGTATACTTGGTTTAATGCTCTGCTGTTGTCATCTTGACATTCTTTAAGTAAGGTGCGCTGCATTTTCATTTTGCCCTGAAAATTATGTAGCTGATTCTGCTGGGGTCACCTCTGTCTGACATACTCGTGTCTCCTCCACAGTGCCCAGCACCAAAGCAAATTCTGCCTGAACCATGTTGTGTGTGAAATTGCTAAACAAACAGTAACAGGCCTGAGCTGTCGTACATGGTTGGCATGGAATGGCGTGCGCAGGGTGGAGAAGTGCATATGTACTACATAGGAAGGGACTTTGTATGCAGGATTCTGCCCAAAGGCAAAAAAAAAAAAAAAAAATCTGTTAACTGGGATCTCAATCAGGAAGTTACTCTTCTCAACTAGAGGAAAAAGATAAATTACTCCCCTCATTCCTATACCAGAGATGAACCCCAGAAACAAATAACAGAACCAGACATCTGGCCATAAAACCTTGAAAACAGAAGCCATCCCCTTGGGTAATAAGTAATTAGCAGCAGATATTTTACTAAAAGGATTGGAGGGATGCAAAGCTTCCTCAGCAAAGCGATTGACAGAGAACTGGCACTTGCAGTAGACTCTGAACAAGCATATAGGCAATGACAATTAATGTTCTGCAAATCCCGAGGGTCCTACGTACCAGGTGACTGGCCATCTGTATAGTTGGGCTGACCAGAAAAACAGAAATCAGGTCATGTATTTATAACAGAGGGAATATAATACAGGGAATTTGTCACACAGGTGATATGGAGGGAGTTCAGTAAAGTAACTCAGATTAGTCAGCACAATACAGGGAATTTGTCACACAGGTGATATGGAGGGGTCCAAAAGACAGAGTTCAGTAAAGTAACTCAGATCAGTCAGCATAGGAAACCACTCCCACCTGAACTTGGAGAAATAAAGGCAAGCGACGACGTTACTGGAGCCCAGTGTGACCTGGAATCAGGCAGGTCTGCTCGGGGAAGCTGACTCGTGCGCGAGCTGCTGCTGGAGGAGACACCCAGGCAGAGAGCTAGGAGAGGAAACACCCTGGCTTCTTCCCCCAGCCCTCCAGTCTCTCACGAGTGCCTCCCCTGGGCTGAGGCAGGAGTTTGGGAAAGGTAGCCTATTGGGTCACCGCGTCAGTGATAGAAGCAGCTCCATTTCCTTCTTCTGTGAAGTGTCTGTTCAAATCTTTTGCCTGTTCCCTACCCCTCAACTGGATCGTTTATCTTCTTATTGAGTTATAAAAGTTCTTTATATATTCTGGATGCATATTCTTTGTGAAACATATATATTGTGAATCTTTTCTTATAGTCTGTTGCTTGCCTATTCTTTTTCTTAATAGTGTCTTTTGAAGAGCAGAAGTTTTAATTTTGACAAAGTTTTATCTTTTCTTCTAGAAATTTTATAATTTTAGCTTTTATATCCAGGCCTATGATCCATTTTAAACTTATTTTTTTGCATATAGTGTGCTCTAGTTCAAGGTTCATTTTTTTCTATATGAATATCTACTTACTGCAGCACCATTTGTTGAAAAGATTATTCTTCTCCTCATACAATTAACTTGGTGCCTTTGTGAAAATCAATTGACCATTGTGTGTAGGTCTATTTCTGGCCTCCATATGTCTGTGTTTACTCTAATACCACACTGTATTAATTATTGTAGTTTTCTATAGTTTTCTAGTAAGTCTTGAAATCAAGTAATGCAATTCCTCTAACTTTATTTTCCATGTTTAAAATTCTTTTGGCTATTCTAAGTCTTTTGCATTTCCATATAAATTTTAATTATCAGCATGTCAATTTCTACAAACATGCCCATTGAAGTTTTATTGGAATTGTATTGTCTAGATTAATTTACGGTAAATTAACACTTGTGATGATATTGAGCCTTTCAACCTGTGAACATGGTATATTCCTCAATTTATAAAGTTTCTTCTAAAAGTTATTAATTTCTTTCAGCAATGAGCAATGTTTTATAGGTTTCAGTGTAGAGGTCTTACACATATTGAACTTTTATTCTTAAGTAGTCTGTTTATTTTTTATGCTGTTGTAAATTAAATTATTTTTTAAATTTAATTTTTTGTTTCCTATTAATACAATTGATTTTTGTATATTAACTTTGAATTTTGTGATCTGATAAATGTTTATTAGTTTTCATAGTTGTTTCATA